TACATGGAGTTAAAATGGCGAGCGACCCTCCCGCCGGAATGGTGAGCGTCCTTCTCTGTCAAACGCGGCGCTAGTTTCCGCCTAAGCTCCGCTGGCCCGCTTAACTGCTATGTCATGCGGCACAGTCTACAAGTACAGGTGACCGGTCGCGAGATCGGAGCTCCGTAGCACCGAGCGAGTGTGGCGAAGGTGGGGGTATTCACCGCATCAAACCTACAGGTCGCCTGGACCCTTATCTTGAGACCAATAGTACATACAGCTGGTGACCGCGTGAGCCGCCAATCGAAGCTCACGGCTTATAAGCTCGACGCGGGCATCACACGCCGTCCCGATGGGAACTCCACGACGCCGCCGCGAACTCCAGCGCGGCTCGCAGCGCGAAGACCAGTACGGACGGTCGGGGCAAACGGCGTGCGGGAGTCGCAGGCGACGTTCTGCGGACAGAAAGGGTTGGGCATAAGCTGGTCGGCAGGACACTCTTGAGCCGAGCCTTTGATGTAATTACAGATGATCCAGAAGCATGCACAAAAATTCATGACACACTATTCTCATTTATGTATTTGCTACATATGATATGATATACCAGCTCATGATCAGTGACGCATTCTAGGCAATATGTTCTAAAGTGAAGTAACTGAAGTTACAGCTTAAAAGCTTAAAAAAACAGCTTAAAAAACACACACACACACATTCGATAGCTTATGAGAATAACATGCCTTGTGTGCTTAATGCAGGAAAATATTTTTTTTTTCACTTTTTTAGAAACAGCAAAAGAGTTGTCAACAAGCCATGTCAACTATCTAAACAATTTTTATGGAAACTGCTCTAGCTAGCTTAAAGTTCCACAACGTTTCCGGAGCACTGTACCCAAACTCAGTTCATGTTACAAAAAAACAGTAATAATGCCTCCTAATTTTGAATGAAATATAGGTATAAGTTATTTGATTTGGAAAGCAACAAATTTCCGAAAATCATTTTAGCAAAATCACTATTTTCTTCAGGCCACCAGGTTTTAAACAAAACTATAGTAAACTTTATGATCTAGTTGACACAAAACCAAAGCCCCGATTTTAACAAATGTAGATAAAATTTTAACAATTTAAACAAATGTATCGTGGAGAAAATAAAAAGTGTAGATTTGTAAAGCCGGGATATTTCAATTTCACGGATTAGGCACTTAAAGAAATATCTTCACCTTTCTTTGAGCCACCAGCCTTCACCCAAGTTTTACACGAATATAGTGAAGCAGACAATGTGGCAACTCAAAATTGTGATGGTTTGAGATAATTATGACGGTAAAAGAAAAAGCAACACAAGGTTCCTTACCCTCGTTTTTTCACATGGGTTGAGATGAGGCTTCAACTGTTGCCGACCTGAGGAGCTATAGGGACTTGAGCTTTCCAAAACTCAATTTCTAAGGGCACTGAGCAGTGTTTGGCTTTCACACGAATGCGATAGTAAGTTATATGAAGTTGACAAAGCAAGCAAAGCAAAGCATGATGCCCCGCGCGTCCGCCCGCGACCACGCCCCGCGTCCGACTCCCGACCGCCGCGTGACCCGAGGCGCCCGGCGGTCACGTGACCTACCGGCCGGGACTGCAAACAGCCTTCACCACCATTCTTGTATGACGTCATATCCTACTGAGGTGCTGATTGGTCGGAATTAGATACCTGAAGGTAATTATCTGCCGTAGTTATTTTTGTTTCATTGTTTTGCGTGTTTTCTTATATGAAATGTAATTAAAAAATTTGTCATATTTTAATCACCATTAAAACATAACTGAATAGGTATAAAAGAGAACTCGATATATACTTTCCTTGTTTTTAAGAATTCCGGAATTAGATACCCGAGGGAGCAAAGAGGGAGCAAGTTGCCACGCTGATTTAATACCTCATAGTTGAAAGGTGGGCTACTAGAACCAAAAATTGCTGTGTTTGTAAATAAATAAGTGATTTGAGGGCAAAAAATGCCCAGATTTAAACTTCTAAAATTATTTTGAACATAAAATATTTCAGTTTGAGGGATGTTAAGGCCTCTAAGGGTAGGTACTTTTTAGGTATCAAATAAGTTCCTCTGCGAAAGTTCCGTCGTGAAAACGGCCATTATGCATTTCAGACCATGTGGAACAGTCCTTTTCGGCTATTTCTCGTTGTATATGCGTTTGCTTTTAACCAAATTTTGGCATTGGTAGTTTGAGATCCCTACCTAATTTTTATCAATATGGTCTATTAACAAAAAATGAAAAATAAGGGCACTTGTCATTGAATGATAATGTTAAGGTCGTCAGAGGCCTGCTTAGAGGCTGATACAGACTGGGCGCCGTCTCCCCTCTGATTGGTCGTGACGCACTGGCACGCTGCGGCTAGGCTCCGCCCACCTGCGGTCCAGCCTCGGGTCATGTCGGCGGCAGTCGCAGTCTGGCCGGCCGGCGGTGGTGCGCGCGGCGCAGCGGAGTGGCACACTTGTTTGCATGTCATGAACTTTAAAATCAGTTGTTCAACGACTAATAAGGACGGAGGAAGGAAGAAAAAGGAAGAGGAGACAAAGTAACAATGAGACGAACGGTAGACGGTGGCTAGTGGACAGCAAACAGTATGCATAAACTCTAGAGCAGAGACAGGAGACAAAGACGGCAGACGCGAATGACAGAGACAAAGATGGTAGACCAGAGATAAGTGACAGAGATAGAGATTATAGACGAGAGACTGAAAAGGGGGCATGAAGGATGGGAGATCATTAACTCTCGATATTGCATATCTACATTTTCAGATTGAGTCGTCCTATCTTTCCCTATTTTATTGTTTTTCGGCCTTAACATCTATCAACAATATCCTTAACCCTATTCCTGGCGGGGGGGCCTCAGGAGCCCCCCCCCCTGAGGTTTTTTGGTTATTTCTCCCAAACGCGTTGAGCTAAGAAGCTCAAATTTTCTGACTTTTCCTAGAAGGCTTCTACGCAACATGTCTGAAAATTTTGAGTTGATCTGACCTCAGGTCAGGTCACCAGAGGCGGTTTGGTGACCCTACCTCAGAAAAGTTTGCAATCACGCCAGAGCTAGAGTTTTTGACCGATCAATTTCTTCTCTTCAGGCTTTAGTTAGGGTACCAGTATGTGCAATTTGTATATCTCGGAATTTTGATATCGGTGACCTAAGGTCAGGTCAGTTTCGCGACCTCCCCATTATAAGTCAATGGGGGAAAAATCAACTCCCTGTTTTTACCACTAAAACGGGTCGGAATGGCCCCATATACCATACATGACTTCATATACGATCAGCCTTCACTACCTTGAGGTCTGTTTTGCTGTTGGGCAGCTGTGAGGTCATGTGACGTCATCAAAGGTCACCAAAGGTTTTTGGCCAATAACTCCGTACAGGAACAAGATGCAGACGCGTGGATGGTCTCATTGTGTTCAGCTCATCAAGACGCATCGAATGATATACATGATGACCTCGAGGTCACGTGACCTGAGGTCAACCTTTGACCTTGACCTTTCGAGGTCAACATATATATCATTCGATGCGGATTGACAAGAGGATCACGATGATGCCCTTAGTTTGTTCCTATCTTGACTAATTCGAAAGTTATTCTAGAAAAACTCTCCATATCTAGCGCCGCCATTTTGACTTTTTCGACCCCTGTGACGTCATCTTTGACCTGACCTGAAAATGACCTTAGTAAAAATTGTAGACCTTGTCCATGCGTATCCGATGCCGTTTACCGCTTGTCGTTATCTTGCTTCGTTCTCGAGATCTCAGGGGGGGCCGAATCGGCCCCCCCCCGCCAGTTTCTTGTCCCGGCGGAGCCCGCCAGGAATAGAGTTAAAGCATTGTGGAAATATTATGGAGAAATTGAATATTTTTTTGCCCAAAAAATAAATAAATTGTATTCTCAAAAAAAAAACTAACAACGAGTACATACATATGTGGATATCCTCAATTAAATAAGGCCTTTGAATGTCACCCTACGCACGCAGATTCTGTCTCGTTGCTCTTTAAATGCGCCATAGTCTGTAGGAAAACAGGGCAGCGGAGAAGCTCGCTATAAATTATTGAAAATGACTCTTTAATTTTGAAGGAATAACATTCTGGAGCTTAGTCTGTAGCTAAAAGGAGTGCTTACCGTTTTATATATACATCGATCTGCATTGAATTTTTCATCCTTATTCTCTCCGCGCGAGATACGATATTCACGCAAGGATACCTGCGTTAGCGTGCAGAGGCGGATCCAGCTCAGAGGTTTGGGGGGGGCAAACCATAAAAATTTATCGATTCTTTCCATGCATCGTCCATAGGCGTAATGTTAAAATCATGCCGTTTGGGGGGGGGGGCAAATGCCCATTTTGCCCCCCCCCCCCCTGGATCCGCCACTGTTAGCGTGTGTCTTGTTCCAATCCGTCAGAGCTCCGCACTGCTCTGACCCCGAGCGGCGAATGGCCGGTCTCGGTGTCGCGGCGCAGTGGGCGGAGCTTAGCTGCGGCGCAACAGCTGACGCTGCTACGCCGTGCTAGCCTCTACCACGGCGCAGAGTTTTCCGATCAATTTTTACCATTACAAGTCAATGACATGTGCCTTTCATTTTGATATTTTGTGAAAAGACCATGTTAGTAAAAATTAGGTAGGGCCTTGAAACTCATTGTGTCAAAGTTTGGTTGAAACCAAGCGTATAGGTAACGAGAAAGAGCCAAAAAGGACTGTTCCGGAGGGTCTGAAATGCATAGTAATGTGCAAAGAGCAATGCTGCCACGTGCCACGTTATGCCATTGAATTTAATAAGTTCAAAAGAGCAGGATCGCTATCCCGAGTTCTCCCTTCCTTTATTGTCGCGACCGATATCCATGCCATATTACGCAGGCCGACTCTGGTCCCGGTTTATGGTCCCCGTTTGATACCTCTGGCCGTGGCCTCTGCCGCTGGATCAATGCCAGGTGTGACGGCTCGGCCGCAGTGTTGTTAGGACCGCCGTAAACCCTGTCGCCTGTTGATGTGTGCCGCCGACAGGATTTTCTTCACGCGCTGTCGCGGGTGTCGCGCGGCACCACCGATGAGAAGGTGCGCTGGGTGTTTGACCTGTACGACCTGGACGGTGACGGACTCATCACCAAGCACGAGATGCAGCTGGTGGTGACGGCCATCTACGACATGCTCGGTCGGCACGTGCACCCGCACCTGGACGAGCACGCCGCCAGGAACCACGTGGACACCATATTCCACGTGAGTAGTCGACTGTCCGCTGACCTCGGGGCCATGGGTGATCTTACGTCCTTCGGGGAGAGTCCAACGGCTGACTTGTATGGCGTGGGGACCACGAGTGACCCCTTCATCCATTGGAGAGACTTTTACAGGCCAACAAAATGCCAGAGCGACCTTGAATGACAGTGTTACCTGTAGTGATTCTGAACGACCTTCAATTAGCTTAGCTGGGGTGGCCCTGCGGTCATTCACGCCCTCTCAAGTGCCTTCGAGACACCACACTCACTGGAGTGACCCCTCTGTGGCCATCCAGCACCTGTTGTGACCCTCCAGCACCTGGTATATGAACCTATGTTGTTCTCCCGACTAATGTGACTAAGCAGCAAGTCACCTACTAAAAGCTGGTTTAGTGCCTTATTAACCCTCGCCCTGGCAGGGCATTTTTCATAACACGGCCTGGCAGGGGGGGGTCGATGCGACCCCCCTCGCGATTGGCTCCTATGGCACCTAGAAACACCAAATTTGGTAGGTAGGTGGACCCCTGGAGTCCTCGCCCCTGTGCAAATTTGGTTGCTCTAGGTCAATATTTAGGGGGGTTTTGGGGGGTATAAATGTAAAAATTTCGCTAAAAGCAGGTCAAAAGTTTTTCGCTTATAACTTTTGATCTAATTAAGATAGAGCAAAAAGAAAAGCACCAGTGAACTCAGTACGTCAAGGCGCGTCGAATGATGTACTTTTTAGCTTGCTTTAGTGTACTTAAAGTTTTTCTTAAATTTTAAGTAAACTTAAATTAATGAATTAAGTTCAAGTTAACCAAATTGCATCATATTGCATATCATTCGATTCGGCTGATCACCAGGAACACAATGATACCATTTTTTAAGCTGTAGCGTCATTATGTGCCAAGTTATTGGCAAAAACGTCATTTGACCTCAGTTGACCTCATTTGACCTGACCCATGGATAAGTACACCAAACAAAGAAGCACCAAGTGACCTGCTGTTAAGTACTGTGGTTTCAAAGCACAAAAGTGATAGAACGAAGCGGATATCTCCAGTATTTTCCGAAATTAGTATTTTCCCATAGGCTTAACATTACGACGTAATGACCTCTAACTGACCTCAGGTCAGTGACCTAAAAAAAACGAACTATATGTTATACAACTCGGTGAACTTAGCACATCCTGAAAGTTTGAAGGAAATCAGTCCAAAACTGTGAGTTGGACAGGTGCAAAAAGAAAATTGAAATTTGACCATGACCTTGTACCGGTTTTTCTGACCTGGTGACCTGACCCAAGGTCACCCGGACCTGAAATTTTCAGGTCATATGTAAAAAGGTTGCCCCATAAGCTGTGCCAAATTTGGCGGCGCTTTACGTTATCTTCGAAAAACCTTAGGGGGGTCGCATCGACCCCCCCCCCTGCCAGAGCGAGGGTTAAATGTCTGGTATGAGTCCACTGCTAGAGCTTCGACGGTAAATCTGCTTCGATGAGATATCGCATTGTGTATTTAATACTTTGCTATGCACTATTGCATACTGCGTCTCTGGAAAAAGCAAGCGATCGAAATAGCATGCGTTCAGCTGTTCTGGGCTTTCCGAGGGGAGACCAGGGCAGTAACGTTAGCAGTTACGATTGCAAGGGTGTGAGAATTTCTCGGTCTGAATCGGGAACTGCTCGGTCGGAACAAGCTAACGGGCCACTCAAACATTTACGCCGGGCTCTCAGGTATCCCGGCTGCAATGGCGAGCGGCAATAATTTAACACTCGCCGAGTTATCTATAATTCGGCTCGACGGTTGGTGCGGTCAGCTGCACTCAGTTCACATTGCCAGCCATTTTAAGGTAACGGGATACATAATGGTCTGATCTGAAACCAAGTGATAAGTCAGAAAATAGCATCCTTTTAACTCACGACTTGTCCTGAGGAAGTATTGCCGTATCAAGATTATCCCTCGCATGTGTAGGGGGGGGGGTCGGATGGACCCCCCCATGGTTTTTCGCGAATAACTCGCGTAAAAAGCGGCCGATCGCGACAAAACTTTCAGTACCCTCGCATTGATCAATTTGACACCTACCCTGAAAATTTCATGACCCTGACCCAAATGACCTTTGACCTCTTTTCCGAGACCATGTTTGGCCGGAATCGCGATTCGGCGTACGTCGGCTCGCATTAGCCGCGCGTTTGCAAGCTTTTCGTGATTTTAAACGTTCAAACATGTGATTTGATGTTGCTCCCATGCATTAGGGTGGGTGTCAAGGTCACCTGAAGGTCAGGTCAGGTCATTGACCTTTGGTGACCTCGGGTGACCTCGGTTCACTTTTTCGAGTTTTACATGTTTCTAGGCTAGTTTTTGGAGCTGAATTCGAATTTAGCAACCATTTGAACATTTACGAAGTAGTTTTAGTGCCTTCGTAACATGTTACGAAGCTGTCAGAGGCGGTTTACACGTACTACGAATACCCGTCACGACGCCTACTGATTGACCTGACCTGACCTGACCCGACCTGGTCTAAATGCTTAAAGACATCATCTGTGATCAAAACTAACACGATATTCGTAATCAGCACCCCGAAAAACCCCTTAGCAGCCACACTTTACGACTTTGTAATAGGTCCCGATTTTCCCGACTTTGGGTCATTGACCTGACCTGGAAGGTCAACCAATGACCTAGGACCTTAAAATTGGGTATCATCGGCTTCCTCTCGTCACGGGCAACACACTCGTTTTTTCCGCGAAGCTCTAGCTCGATCAGGGGCCAAACGGCAAGGGGGGGTCCAACCGACCCCCCCCCCCTACACATTAGAAGCTGGAAAACGCCGCACACATGCGAGGGTTATCATAGCATCACCAAACTTATAGAACCACCTTTCACGTGTATGTCTGTTACATACGCTCACTATAGGTACAGTCGTGTACAGGTTGATGGTCCGCTACTCTTTATCCACCGGGTTCCTATGGCTCAGCATTGGCAGCAGCCGCCTGGTACCGGTAGGCTGTGCCGCATGACCCGAGAGTGAAGCGGCACAGCCTACCCACACTGTATGACACCGGCTCGGGTCGCCTGGTAGAGCGATTTGACCGAACGCTGCGTTACACCGGCTGGGGGAGGGGGGGGGGGTAAGGGTCAGGCCTGCCGATTTGGCTCGGCTCGGTGGATGAGGCGGGCTGGACGGAGTACTGTGGTGTGGGGCGGGGGTGATGTGGGGAGGGAGTGAGCGGACCTGGGGCTGGGTGTGTGTGGTCACTTGTCGCATAGAACCGATCATTCGTAATCCACCCTCCAAAAATTCGCTTTAGAGATATTCACAAAACCCAAGGGGGTTCAAACACCCATCTCCCAAGTGGGGTGCGGAAGGACAGGTAAGGGTCCATACGGCCTCCTCATGAATTGCAGCAAAGAAAGAAAACAGACCTGTCACCAAATAATCTTTCTGAAAAGTGGATTATAATCGCATAGCCTCGGACACAGAAATAAACATCCAGCACGCGAAGCGTCTCGAACCGGGCCTCTCACTACCGGTAAATTTGACAGTCTAGCACTCCTACGCTGAGCTACACCGGATGGTAGCCACGGCCGGGGCAAAGTCTGGACGGGCGGGCGGCGGGGCTGGGAGGTCGGCAGCAAAGTCAATGAATGTTTTTGTGGTTTCGGGTGCCGGTCGCTCTAGCTTGGTGGAATGGTGATGGATCATTGGCAAATCTTTCAACGTGGAGTCCCGGTTCGAGCCTCATGGGGGCTCCGGCTACTTTTCCGAGTTAGGATCTGGTTTGATTTTAGTGGTTGCGAGCCATATATACGGTTTTATATCTACATGTCGATTGTCGATTGATTGATTGATTCATTCATTCGTTCATTTAACCCTCGCCCCGTTGGGGGGGCCATTTTGGCCCCCCCTGTGGTTTTTCCTGAATAGCAAGAAAACGGCGGCGCGCAGCGCCGCCAAATTTTCAGTACCTTTCCGGGCATCAATTTGACACCTTCACACCAAATTTCAAGTCTTAGGTCACCTTAGGTCAGGAGTTATTGAGGTCAAACTGAGGTCATGTTCGAGCAAAAATGAGCAAAAAACATGCAATCTTGAAACGCTCACCAAATCTACAGTTATCAAGCAATTTCAAAGTTCTTTATATGGTCTAATAGACAAAAAGCGGCGCTACAAAACTGCTATCTCGGATTTTCAAAATTTTGGGTTTTTGACCCAAAAAATTTCAAAAAATTGATTTTTTTAGAAAAACTAAAAAAAAATCCAAAATTTTTCCGAATTTCGAAAAAAAACGGAATATATGTGATAGTCCCTGCGCTCTTCTATATACATACCAAATTTCAGATCGATATCTCGTTTTTTGGCCAAGTTATAGCGAAAAAACTGTTCAAAAATGATGACGTCAAATTTTTGAACTCAATTTTTAGCGATTCTAGACCTCGTACGGCAAAACAAAGACCACAATTGAACTCCCCGTGACGAGCTGCATCGATTCGATACCCATTTTATGCAAAAATATCAACTTTGAAATTTGACCTTATTTGACCTGACCTTGACCTGACCTTGACCTGACCTTGACCAAAACGTGACCTAAGCTGGCCCCAAAGGCTGCCTGACCCACATAATCGCATTTGTCATGTAAAATGGACCATAAAACATGCATCACACGATACTTTCATATTGTGACCCCCCAGTGACCTGACCTCAGTGACCCGACCTGGTATCAGTGACCTCAACTAGCAAAATATGTGTTTGAAGAACATTTCCCCATCGATGATTTTCAATGAAACGCATTTTACTCGATTTTACAACGCATTTCTTGAAATGCCTGTAAACGGTGAAAATTGGACCTTTGACCTGACCTGTGACGTCATCGGTTTGACCTAGGTCAATAAAATTGGGTCACAAGGTAGTTCCCTGATAGGGCTATCCAACACCGTTTGCCGCTTGTCGCTACGTTGCGTGGTTCTCGAGATCTTAGGGGGGGGGGGCCAAAATGGCCCCCCCCCAACGGGGCGCGTTGCTCGGCAGAGCCCAACGGGGCGCGGGTTAATACATGTCGACATTTAGCATACGAATTGACATTCATGATCAATCCGATCAATCTACCATTTTCATAAGCGTATTGCCTAAATATCATGCATATAGTTATATGGCACAAGACCTATGGTTGCCTCGATACCGTGCCAAATCACGTTTTGCACAATGCACAAGTAAATTATATTCGCTGGGTCTTCCGTGCATTGTGCTTAGCAAAAACAGGAATGCAATTGTTCAGCGACGCAAAATGTGCAATGCAGCAAGTGACCACACACACCCGCCCAGCCCCCATGGTCCACCAACACGCCCCACACCACTCGCCAGCCCACGCCAACCACCGAGACGAGTCCCTCCCCCCGCGCTGGTCTGACGCGACAGCTGGTCTACAAAGCGCTCCACCCGTGACCCGGCGACCCGAGCCGATGTCAAACGGCGTGGGTAGACTGTGCCGCTTCACTCTCGGGTCATGCGGCACAGCCTACCGGTACCAGGCGACTGCTGCCAATGCTGAGCCATAGGAACCCTGTGGATAAAGAGTAGGGGACCATCAACCTGTACACGACTGTACTCGTAGATATTGCATGAACGGAAAATACATCGATCGAAATTCAGTTACGATTGTAAAACATGCAGACTGTAGTGAGATGAGAATCTCACGACTGAGGAAGCTGTGCTTCTGTTATTGTGTTATACCCACTGTTATACATAATCTCTGCATTGGTAGTCACCCGCACCGACCGTTTAGTACGGCTTAGTACGATTTAGTACCGCTTTGCTGTCTGTTTCAGCAAATCGACGTCAACAAGGACGGCATGCTGACGCTGGAGGAGCTGCGCCAGTGGTGCGCGCGCGACCCAGACTTCCTGCGCTCGCTCAACATGCTCGACACGGTTTTATGACTGGAGCAGTGGCCGGCCGGCGCGGCGCCGACCGGTCACCAGGCTCCCCTGCAGGCGGACCACCAGGCTTCCCTGCAGGCGGGTCATCAGCCGTCCCTGCAAACGGGCTACCAGAAGGGCTACCAACCGAGCCACCAGTCTCCCCTGCAGACGGGCCATCAGATAGGCTACCAGACGGACCATCAGTCGGGCCACCCTCCGCCCCTGCAGACACATCAGCCGGGCCACCAGGCACCCTTGCAGACCGACCACCAACCTGGCTACCACCCGGGCTACCAGGGTCACCAGCCAGACTACCACCTGGGCTACCAGGGTCACCAGCCGGGCTACCAGCCACCGCTGCCGGCCCGTCACCAGTCGCCCGTACTGACGGACTATCCGCCGCCGCCCGCCCGTCACCAGTCGCCCGTACTGACGGACTATCCGCCGCCGCCGCCAACCGTAAGAGGAGACCCGGGCTCGGCTGCGCGCCAACCAGCGCATCGGCCCAGTAGAGAGACAGAGGTGTAGCCCCGTGCGCCGTTATCTCCTATTCGGGAGAGTTTGTGCGTATTGTACAGAGAAAGAACAGTCGACCTGAGGGGATTGTGTGAGGTGACATTGACATTGCTGTCGGGGTATAAATGATGCCGTTATAGATGACGACGCTATATGATTGCCAAAGTGTTACGCTACTCGTAACTAAATTATGGAGTGAATAGCATATATATGTACCTACATTGTACATACATTATGCATGTACATACAATAGAGTGATATAAATTATAACACAACTTATTGGAATGATAGGCCAAGCGTCCCTCGGAGGCGTTCAGCAGAGGTCACCCTTACCCTTCCAATGTCTGCCTAGTTGATAAAGAACGGCCATAAAACCAATTTCGAAAACGTGGCTTCCTCAATGTCGATCGGGTCATGCCGTGGCTTGGCTTTAAGAACATGCGGTATTACGTTGAACTTCAACATCGAAGTTCAAGGCAACATGTTTTAGGTTTAGCACGATTTGTTGTTTGTAAGTTGTGGATTTTGAAAAAAAAAATTTATGTGTAAACATTTGATTAACATAATGTTACATAAGTCACACAAATATTTTCCATCCTAAAGCAAGAAATCGAGTATTGCCTGGTCATTTTCTAACTAGATAATAAAAGTTGTTTGCTTGTGCATCCAAAATGCTGTTGTCAATGTCATGAATCTTATTCTTAGCATTTCGACATAAACGATTTAATCAGGGATGCGGAGCCGGAGCCGGAGTCGGAGCCGGAGCCGCCGGAGCCGGCATATTTTGCCCGGAGCCGGAGCCGGAGCCGGAGCCGTGAAACAATATAGCCCGGAGCCGGAGCCGGAGCCGGAGCCGCCAAAAAAGGGGGCGACTCCGGCTCCTTTTTATTTTTTGAAGAGGAAAAAATTGACCTAGTTCGGTTTGACAGTACAAGGCAGTAAAACATATGGTACTGTCATGGGCCATCAAGTGAATAAAAAAAGCCGAATATCCCCAGTATCCCACAATCAACTTCCTGTCTGCTCCTTCCCCCCCCCCACACACACGTCTACTGCATCCCCAGAACATGAGGACCGGTCATCAGGTGACGGCCATTGTTTTGAAGCCAGTGCAGTGGACTGCGACTCCCAGCACCGTCTCTTCCGACCCCACCTCACCCCCCCCCCTCCCCACCCCTCAATGCAGCCGAGACGGGTGTCAGCTTACGATGCAGGTTCAGTGAACTCCGATTCGCGGCGACTGCGTTTCCAATGCCATCGCTTCCTAGTCCTTTGTTCTACCAGTTCTCTCCGAGGTGCGTTTGCGCGGGGACGCGGTGAGCCGGTCATGGCCAAGAGTAACGCGTATAACCAATCCAATTTTTCTTCCACCCGCATTTAATTGATTGCATAGGGGATGTAGAGTCGACTACAGAATGATGTTCCACTTTTCACAGGCAATTATTTGCCTGGAGTGGTAGGCTGTGCCGCATCACACGGGCTGAGTTCACAAATTATAGCTTTGTCCCAATGCTCACAATTGACAAGCTTAATTGCGTGATAAACGGCACAACTTAGCGCCCCGGTCAACTGATAGCTTCTGAGGAGTGGAACATCATTCTGTAGTCGGCTATACTGAGTCGGAGCCGGAGCCGCCGGAGCCGGACCATTTTACTCGGAGCCGGAGCCGGAGCCGGAGTCGCCATAACATTTCACCCGGAGCCGGAGCCGGAGCCGGAGCCGATCTTTTTCTCCGGAGCCGGAGCCGGAGCCGGAGCCGTCTGAAATATCCACGGCTCCGCATCCCTGGATTTAATCGTTAGGAGAGCTATCAGCAACTATCTGCTCAACTCTAGCTGAATCAGTCTCCCTCCGCGCTCACGGTTGTATGATGTTATAAGGTGTCCATCCTCGATTTTATGATGAAACCTTGCTCGATTGCGACCGTATAGTGTATGTATGTACGATATCGTTAAGCTTTAATGTATACATATTGAACTCCGAAATGCACCATGCACCCTATAAATGACATGACATGAAGAGTGAAACTAAATAAACTGGAAGTACCGACTCAAGGTCGTGATTTCTGACACGATCCATATGGCTGCGGTTGGAAAACCGCAGAAGCGTTCTCGTCCATTTCTTGCATGTTCTGCATATCAAAAGAATTATTAATCCAGTCATAGATCCAGTTAAAAACATGCATCGCCCTAGGTTAAGACTATGCTTAAGACGCAGTTACCTACATGAGGTATTAACTTTGTCAACACCTTAATTTGCAATCTTTTTATATTTTTTTTTTAACTTAAGGGTAAATTGTAGACCTACATTTATCCATCCAAATCACGTACCTGTTAGTTCACAACGACTCTTGTGAGATCGTTTGTCCTCCCAGCATTTCGGTCTCAAAATATTTCCTAATTTGTACCTAATATTTTCCCACAAATTGCTGATAGAAGACACAGGCTATATAACTTTTGGTATGGAGAGGAAGTAATAGCTTGGGGGAAGAAGCGTAACAATGTGAAAAACATATTTTTTTACAAGCTTATCCTTCTAAGTCCTCAAAAGCTTAAACTACTACATAACAAAGCTCTAGAGGCGACGGCATTTTTCCAAAATACTTTCAAGTCGACCTGCGGAGACAGGTCGCAGGAATGGCCGCCGACCACGACCTCAGCGGCCGGCAGCGCCGTTCACAGGGCGGCCGGCAGCGCCGTGGCCGACGAGCAGCGCCGCTCTCGGCCCGTTTAGATGACGGACGGGGCCGGCTATGAGCCGGCAGAGGCGCCGGCCGGTCCACCCGCTGTCACCGCCCGCCAGCCGAGACGGCCGCCGACCGCAATAAGCCGGCCCCGAGGTGATCCCCAGCTCAAAGGCCCGGCCGCAATATGCAAGCCGTGACGTCACTGATGAGGAAACACGGCCGGCACTCTGCAATTCCCGGATTGGATGAGAAGCCACCGCGCCGCCGACACCATAGAGCGCTGGGACCGCTAAGCTTTTGAAAGGAAGGCACTATGTCCGTATCTGTGGAAAGCCGATACTCTGCAACAATTGGCTCTCATAGCGCAACCTAGCAGGATCCTGTGAGCCGACTCAAGGGTGATCTTTTCCGAACGAAAATTGCATTAAATTATGTCATCGCTTAAAAGCAACGTTGCAACGGACCTTGAATGTGAAATCAAGCCACATATTACCATTGTCAGTGCTTACATAAAACAGAGAATCCATGTACGTATAGGTAATAGGCGGTTTCATAGAGCAGATACACATACCAGGCAAAACAAAACAAAAGTCATTTTATCTACGAACGAGCTACAAGCGAGTGGTGCGCCATTTTAAAGAGAATTTTGGAACACTTATGCTCAGTAGGTATGCAATTTCCTAATAAGCAGCCTTAGGCCGCCACCTCTCACTCGTCCACCTTTGGCCATTTGTTCACGGCGCATCGCCTCCAGCGATCCACGGAAGCGATCTCAATCTGGTGTTTACGCCGGCTGAATTGATGGGGGACGTTGCCCTCTCCAGTATGGCACCCAGCAGTGGCATGTCTGGCCTTCGGTAGCAGGTGTTTGACTATGGGTGGGCGGAACAGATATAGAGGGGGGGGGGGAAGACGCCGACTAATAGGTATTGACTCGTCTTCTTCCGACTTCGCCGGGCTAGCGAACTGAATTCTTCTCTCTCTCTCTCTCTCTCTCTCTCTCTCTCTCTCTCTCTCTCTCTCTCTCTCTCTCTCTCTCTCTCTCTCTCTCTCTCTCTCTCTCTCTCCTCTCTCTCCTCTCTCTCTCTCTCTCTCGCTCTCTCTCGTATCCGTCTGAGATGGACGATGATGAATAGTTCACAGGCTGCGATTATAACAGCCCAGACATAGCCCGGAGCAGTTCCCAGTAGGTACGTTCGCTAGGTGCAGCTCCACCCCACCCCGGACGGCGGCCCCTAGTCATTGAACTGCTCAGGCATTTCTCCTGCAGTCAATCAGCAACCATTCGTCTGCTGAGACTCAGCGTCGGGCAACCAATTATACATCCAGTTAGTTAGTTACTTCGCTGCAGACGCTTTGATCATACAATTAATGCAAGGACTAATTCAGCTCCATTCGATTTCAGAATGCCCATAATAAGCGATAAGTAAAAAAAAAGTTGGCGCTTAGCCAGGCCTCCTTGCATAAACGCAATAAAATGTGTGGACACATTTACATCCAACATCGTGAAATATAGCCAACACCGTTGCCACAGGTGCCTCACATCACGTCTGGGGCCCATCCATCCTTTACAACGGCGTCTTCATATTAATATGGGCCGCACCGTGTCCCCTGAATAAGGATAGACGTGTTCAGAAAACAGCCGCGGCACTTTGGCGCCCGCCTGGTGTCATCCGACCCGCAACAGCTTCACGGGTTTCTGGTGCATGGCTCTGAATTCTCAGTTTTCCAGGAACAGTTGACGCGGTATTCCGTTATGTAAGCTAATGCAACGTTTAAATCAACTGCAATCACAAAACTGTGCGCTGTTAGCTACAGCTTTGGACAAGAACTCCCCGGATATAGGAGAATCTGCATAAACTCGCCATTCCTGTCAACCCGCCCACATAGCGGCAAACAGGCTACGACAGCGAAGAGCCTGCAGTCCGTCCATCTATTGGCATTCCAAAACAGCGACCTGGACATCATACCTTAGACACAGAGAACACATTCCTGGTTCGTACTCACATGCGAATGGATGCTCCATTATGCTTTATGGTGGATTCAGTTGAGCGATTTGGAACGGAACTATAAACAAAATTACATAACATGAATGAATTTAGCATGAAAGGAAAACAAAGTGCAAAGCCATAATGCAACTATAAATGCTTCCATATGCTATGTTATGTTTGCCACTTGCTAGCGATCCTAAACACACGAGCACTGCTTTGGCGAGGGCAACAGTTTGGAAAAGTTAGAATGAGCTGCATCTTGAAGCACAGCCTACAGGCCTTGTTGAAGCGGGTCACATCAAGTGCTAGATGAAATGTTTTTTATTATTAGCTCCATGTTATTGTTAACGGAGTGTTAAGTCGATGTATTTTTGTGACTGATTCTGACTCCGACTTCAAAAATCGACTCCGACCCTTAATCCGACTCCAACTCCGACTCCGGACATTTCTCAAGTCCATACAATGAACGTGAATCTCATGTCGGAGATCTTTTTTATCTTGCCTGAAATGGCCCTAGGTCATGGGTTCCGAGCAGGGATGCAGAGCCGTGGAAATTTCAGACGGTTCCGGCTCCGGCTCCGGAGAAAAAAATCGGCTCCGGCTCCGGCTCCGTGTGAAATGCCATGGCGGCTCCGGCTCCAATACTCAGTACATCCCCTATGCAATTAAATACGGGTGGAAGAAAACAGACGATGGGATTGGTGCGCGTTGCTTCTGTATTTGCAGGAGCTAACGAGCATTGTCAATGCATGAGGTGTTGTCCATCTCTGCACTGCAGAGCGGAGGTCATCTGGTGACCGCCGGCTACACTGCACCGTCCGATGGGCCTATCTCAGCTACGGCCATTTGTCTCCAGTCACGGCACCATGCACAGCCACATTTACGGCGTGTGGAAACACGGGACTTCAGCCCGGCCGGCCGCGCCCACAGCAGAGCACGAGGGTGCAGAACTCATTTTAGCGGCGTGCGTTTCGCAATTTTGCTGGATATGAATTACAGACCACGGTGTCAGTTGCACGCTCGATGGAACCTTGA